TTTGTGATCGCTGTTAGCTAGTTCGTTCCCTACATCGACATTACTAATGAGTTTTTCTCTGTTTGACAGAACTAAATCTAGTATATTATTACCCCGGGTGGGTTCGGCACTATGTTGACTTAGGAAGCAGTCCTGAACTGTTTAAAGGACATCCTCTGGTTCTGAGTTACCCATAAGGTCGGTCGGATCCATTTGGCTAAGGTTAATGTCGCCTTCTGAACAGATTTTGCTGTGTGTGGATGCTCACTCTTGCTGTGTTTATCATGTTATCTTAACCTGTTCACTCCAGCTGTCTTTATCATGTTATCTTAACCTGAACACTGCTGCTGTGTCTATCTTGTTATATTAACTTGCTCACTCCTGCTATAGTCACCTTGTTATCTTAATCACTCGTGCTGTGGTCAACGTGTTATCTTGATCACTCGTGCTGTGGTCAACGTGTTATCTTGATCACTCGTGCTGTGTTCAACGTGTTATCTTGATCACTCGTGCTGTGCTCAACGTGTTATCTTGATCACTCGTGCTGTGCTCAACGTGTTATCTTGATCACTCGTGCTGTGCTCAACGTGTTATCTTGATCACTCGTGCTGTGCTCAACGTGTTATCTTGATCACCGTGCTGTGTTCAACGTGTTATCTTGATCACCGTGCGTCAACGTGTTATCTTGATCACTCGTGCTCAACGTGTTATCTTGATCACTCGTGCTGCTGTGCTCAACAACGTGTTATCTTGATCACCAAAGCAGCTCAACGTGTTATCTGATCACCGCCAGGCTCAACGTGTTATCTTGATCACCGGTGCCAGCTCAACGTGTTATCTTGATCACTGTGCCAGGCCTGCCCGTCATCTTTGGATCACTCAGCGCTGTGGTCAAACGTGTTATCTTGATCACCGTGCTGTGTTCAACGTGTTATCTTGATCACTGTGCTGTGGTCAACGTGTTATCTTGATCACCCGTGCTGTGGTCAACGTGTTATCTTGATCACTCGTGCTGTGTTCAACGTTATCTTGATCACTCGTGGCTGTGCTCAACGTGTTATCTTGGATCAATGTGCTGTGCTCAACGTGTTATCTTGATCACTCGTGCTGTGCTCAACGTGTTATCTTGATCACTCGTGCTGTGCTCAACGTGTTATCTTGATCACTCGTGCTGTGCTCAACGTGTTATCTTGATCACTCGTGCCGTGCTCAACGTGTTATCTTGAGCACTCGTGCTGTGCTCAACGTGTTATCTTGATCACTCGTGCTGTGCTCAACGTGTTATCTTGATCACTCGTGCTGTGCTCAACGTGTTATCTTGATCACTCGTGCTGTGCTCAACGTGTTATCTTGATCACTCGTGCTGTGCTCAACGTGTTATCTTGATCACTCGTGCTGTGCTCAACGTGTTATCTTGATCACACGTGCTGTGGTGACAGTTGCTGTCAGTGTCGCGGATCGTCGTGTACTGGATGCACTTGGCGAGCTGTCGGGTCTTCTGGTGGTACAGTATTCCACAATAGTGGGTCATACAATTCCTTAACTTAAAATGTGGTTGTTGTGGTGAATCCATGGGAAAATGTCACAGAAACATATTACAGTACAAAAAATATTAAAAATAAAAGTAATGAAAGTATTGCTTAAAAATAGGAGAATTTACATAGGACCGATAAAAGCAAGTCTAATAAGATCACTGTGACCAGTGACTATAGGTTGTCTAATCCAGCATATGTTTTTGACCAGGTGTCTGGCGTGAGGTCACGTTGAGGTGACTTGTATACATATATAACCATGTTCCTTTGCAGAGTCTGTTAGTATCTCTGAAAGCAGCGTAAATAGTGGAAAACTCGGAGCTCGTTACCGTTGTGGATCAGCAATACCTTTATTGAGTGAAACATTATTTTTATGCCTCCCGCCATGGAAATAACAACAGTAATAAGTGTAGTTACAATGTATACTAAGCATGTTACTAGCAAAACTAAGTAGTGGTGGAAGTGTGTTAAGAGATCCACTGGTCGCCGTCGGGGCAGTATGACGACAACCTAGAAAGTAAAATCCAGAGACAGGCCAGCCTCATAACCATGCCCCAGATCAAACCCAAATCCGCCTTGATAAAGTAGGCAACTGAATGAAAGACGAAGCTACCAACATCCGAGACAAGCCAGTTCTTTAAGTGACTGATTTTTACACATTTTTTGTTTCATGACCTTTCTTTGTTTTAGATATTAAATAAAATGTGACTTTTCTAAATACGTCTAATAATAACCGACTTAATATGTTTTGCTTTACTACAATAATTGTTTTTGGTATTTAAATAAAATGAGACTTCTCCTTGTGATTTTTTTTCTAGCCAAAATTGTGATGTTTTCCTGTGACTTTATTTCCGTTCACCGTCATCGTGGGACCACAGGAGGGGCGGGCAACCATTATTCCTTGTGGTAGTTGCAGTAGACGTGGTGACCAGGATAAGCACAGGATGGTGTGGTAATGATATTGTGGTGGTAGTAACACGAAGTGGGTGTAGTAGGTTGGTGGTGGTGGTGGTTGTGTAATGTTGGTGGTAGTGGTATTTGTGGCTGAAGCATCACTGTAGTGGTGGTGATGGAGGCGTGGTAGATATGTGGGAGTGAGGTGTGATGGTGTGGCTGACTCACATTACTGTGTGGTTCACGTGGGACAAGTTTGGTGGTGAGTCAGCACAACACAGCTGTACATTTATGGACTTGGTGAATTAAATTTACAAAGACTTGGCTTATCTTGACAAAATTCCAACATGAGTCAAGGTCAGAGGGAGGGAGGGAGGGAGGGAGGTCGGCACACTGCATCACCGGCATCAACAAGCTCAGGTCTGGCAAACAGTTCCTTCAGCACAGTATAGGATTAACCCCCCCCATTACATCTATGCAGGTTACACGCTCTGATCTTTTCTTATCAATTCACTCCGAGAGGATAAGATAATACTGTCATAAAGTCAGATAGGGAAAACAGTGACAACACACATTTACGATAAGCCAGTGACAATAATATTCAGACATCTATCCTTCTCTTTATGACACGTTAGAATAATTCATGAGAAACCTGTTGAATATTTTCTTTTTTTGTTTAACTATAATCTAGATCAGTTCTCTGTTCCAGATTACCCTTAACTACTCTTCATAGGAAACTGGAGTACCGTTCTTTCTCTATTCGTTAGTCCAGATCACTAATGCGCACCTCACAGTAAGGGAAAACATGTTTAATGTACTCTCTCTCTCTCTCTCTCTCTCTCTCTCTCTAAGACAAACTCTGTGATCTTCATGCTAGCCTGGAGTATTTCCATTCACCTAGCCAGTCTTTCTTTCTCTGATAACATCGAAAAATTTATCTGTCAGCATGGCAGTCTAGACTAGATGAATGTCCTTTCCTCTGTATGTAGACCCTCCCACCAAAGATATAATTTTTCAACTGAAAAAATATCATAAGTGGCAAAAAACTCCACTTACTGCCCATACCTGCACCTCCAGTCTTGTACTGTACTTCCATTGCCAGAACCGTCTGCCTCGAACTACACATATCAACAACATCTGTATTGTAGTGTCTATGTTAGCACCACCTGCCTCCTACTGCTCATATCAGCACCATCCGTATCTTCGAAGCCATCTGCTGTTCCAATTCTCTCTTAGCAACTATCCTTAGTACCTACTGTCGCGTCCGAGTCTACGGTAACATCTGGTGTCTCGTAATAACTACCTGCAGCGCCATCTCTCGTAGTGACCACCTACAACACCTACTGTCTCACAGTGATCATCTACAGTACCTACTTTCTCGTACTGTCTCTTGGTGACCATCTATTTCACCAGGTCTCCGGGAAGGTGTGCAGGGTAGGAGAACTGGTGTTGCTGAAGCAGGGGTCGGTGAACCCTCCGCGGCCATAATAACACGCCACGGGACCCCCAGTCTTGTGCACACGAGTCCTACGGGATAATGCAGCGTGTCGAGTCCTGCTGCGTGAAATTAAGGCTAATCGGGAGCCGCCCTGGGATATGACGAGCGGCGCCATAAAGACGAACGAGACCGACAACTAAGACGGGAGTAACGGAGAGACACCTCGCTGAGTTGGACATACACACACACACACACACACACACACACACAGTTACTCCACGAGTGATTTGCTCCTCAACCAAATTCATTGCTTTCTGTCTCCGTATTTGGTGGTTCATTTTTATGCACGCCAAAGTTACACCCCGAGCATAGCACTAAAGGATTGGTTACGCCCGTACAGGTCATGTAATCTGCATACCTAACGCACACAGAGACCCACCCCTCCTACCTCTGCTCAGGTTGGAACGTCCCTTCACCACCACAGAATGATAAATATCCGTAGTCAGTGCCGGATTTAGACCTGTGGAGGCCCATGGGCAGCCTCTTTGTGGAGGCCCCCCTCATTATAACTACCAAAGAGGGTGGGGTGGCGAGTGAAGCGAGCCTAAACATTTGGGAGTTCCGGGGGGCGCTGTAAGCCCCCCGGGAAAATTTTGAAATTTGAACACTTTCTTGTTGAATTTTGAAGCCATATGCAGTTATACTGAGGAAATTAGAACACTGAGAAAATTGTAATTAACTGTATATTTATTGATAGTGTACAAATTCCAAACACACACACACACACACAAAAGTGAGACATGACTGGAGTCATTCATGTGGTTTCAAGTCGACCAGCCCTGATATAGCTAATACCGCACATGTCAAAAGTTTTCAAGAGACTTCACAGAAAAGAATATATTATTAGTTATTAGAGAGAGATGATTCTTTGCATTATTAATCAGATAAACCTCTACTCAAATAATGGTTCTGTCCAAGAATGCATGTATAGGCTTCTTAAGTCCAAGGTCAGATAGAGTCAGAATAAGTATTAACTCAACTGTAAATAAAATTGAAATTTTGCATCCAATAGTAAAACAAATAAACAATTTAATGAATTTGATAAAATTATAACAAAAGTATGAACATGTTGGAAAAAAACAAGAATTTTAATAAAAATAACTGCCATCTACCATGGATAATGGATATATTGAACACAAACATTGATCAATTGCAAAATAGAAAATAAACATTACCTTTATTTACAGACCAGGCACTTTACGTGACCTGGCCGCTGCAAAGTTTTTGATCAACTGAAAGAACGTTCTCCAGAACAATTTGTGACCATGAGCACCAAGTACACCGTAGCATTATTTCACCACTTGGAAATGTATCTACAACTTTCTTGTCTATCAACAGCTTGTAAAGGTAATGTGCCCTCCCTTTCTCATCATCTTCGTCTTCAAGAAATTGAGTGAAGAATGCTGTAAACTGCACAAGTTCAACTCCAAGTGTTTGATCCAAATCATTTTTGTACACAGCAACCAATTTTGCTGCAGCTGCTTCAATTTCGTCACAATTCATTGACTCCAGTTTAGACAAGAACCCGAAAAGTGAACAGGTTTCCTCATAGGCCTTTAACCGTTGATCCAGTGAACTCAGGAACTGATCAATTGCTGGAAGGAAATTCTGAACCCGAAATTTTTCTGACTGTGAGAGGGCTGCTTCTTCTGATCGTCCATAATCCAATGGATTGAGTCGTACATTACGTGTCTGTGAATAATCCCCAGTTTCTGACATTTCCCTTCCCTTCTTCTCATAAACATGGAAGCAATCTCTTTTTTCTCGTACAAAACATTCCAAGGACTTCAGCATTGCTACTGCTGTGTTCAAATCGAGTTTAGGATCTTGCAATGCATAGCTTGTTGCATCAACTCTGCCAAGAATGTCATGCCAAACCGCAGCATAAATAGCAGTCTCTAACTTGCACATCTTATCATGGAGACCATTGGCTTCATAACATGTTTTGCTCGTCTCATTTTCATCTCTAGCTATTTTAGCAAGTGCTTCAAGGATTGGGAGATAACCTTGGACAACTGCTCTCACTGCAACTGCTCGACAGGACCATCTTGTTGTGGAAATCCTCTTTGGCACAGATACCGGGCCAGACGCTACAGTTTTCAATAAATCACTAAGAATTGCATAACGATGTGTAGAAGCTGTGAAGAACACATAAATTGCCTCAAGAAAATAAAAAAAATGAGACAGCTTCTTGACAACATTCAGCTGCAGCTTTTCCAACCAAGTTTAATGAATGACCAGCACAGGGTATCCAAATTGCATGATGATTTTCAGCTACAACTTTGGCTTGCAGACCATTGTACCTCCCACTCATAGATGTTGCATTATCATAAGATTGCCCACGACAATTTTGAATGTCAATGTCATTGTCTGCAAGAAACTTCATCAAACCTTCAAACATTTCTTGAGTCTTGTGTCCTCGATTTGGCAAGAATTTCACAAATCTCTCAACAGGTGTGTCATGCTCCATGTATCTGAATATCAGAGTTAGTTCATCAATATGGCCTTCATCAGGGGTGGAATCTAGAGAAATTGAGTAATAGTTTGAGAGCTTTATACGTGAGATAATTTCGTTCAGTACTTCATTGCCCATTAGTCTGACAATTTCTTCACAGATGGTTGAAGACAAATAGTTTGTATGACCAGTGCCACGAGTAGCATGATTCTGGATGTGTTGCCCGAGGAAATCATCATACTCGGCCAAAAGCTCTAGTAATCCCAAGTAATTTCCATTATGAGGAGATCCAATTATTTCATCATCTCCACGAAGAGCTAGCCCTCTTTCACATATAATTTAAGCATGCTCATCAATCGCTTTAGAAGACTACACCAATACTGCTCAATTTGACCCACATGTGTAGTTAGTTTAGAATCTATACCTCCAGCTCCCTTTGCACGACTTGCTGCTGACAAAACTGCTTGAATGTGGTCCTTTGATTGCTCATGGACAACAAGCCTATTAGCATGCTTCCAGTCGCAGAACCCATCAGATGTGAATTAAGATCTTGAAACACCCATTAGCTTACAAAAGAAGCAGTAGATCCGCCCATTTGCGGGGGAGAAACAAAGCCAAGAACGCTTTACAACTTCCCCATTTCGATTCCTTCGCTCAAACATGGCTGGTGTGCATTTGTGACTGACATTGTTTGCATCTTTTTGTACTGCTGATTTTGCATCCAAAAATTTAGCATCACTGTGGTGGAGACTCTCAGAACCGTTCGCAGCCCAATAATCAATAAATTGTTTTGTCAAATGTTCTGACCATAAGCTAATGTCAATGTAATAATTTTGTGTAGTTGCCATTTGCACTTCAGGAGGCACATGCTTTGATTCAATTTCAATCTCCTCGGCAGTCTGGTCATTTCCCCCTGTAGATAGGCTAGAGCTGCCATATAAAGAGGAAGCTCATGCATCACATGCAGGTATTTGTTCTGGTTGCCTTGAAGATGAGCTTGCAGAAGCACTGACTAGATGTTCTGAAGCTGATGGACATTCTTTAGATGTCTTTCTCTTTGCAGCACCACTTTCGAAACGTCGTACACATTTGTGTCTGTCCATTCCACTCATTTCTGCAACAATAATTTTCTGTCAACAAAGACGGACACCTAATTTTTCGTTATAATTAAAAACGTAACACAAATTGGCCGTTTGCTTTTTGCTACTTTATGGAGAGGTTAATTGATTACTTAACTCCCTGGAACATTTGGACGCCAGCATATTTTTAAAATTTGGAATTTTGGGTAAGATTATGACCTCTCCCTCTGACTTCTCCCAGTCCCACCCCTAAAGCTCGCCGTCGGTTTGCCTCCTTTTCACCATTGACTATACTGTGTTATACTGTATATACTGATCGTGGAACTGACAGAAACCGTCATTGACATAGTTAATGTACTCAAAATAAATAAAAACAACTCAACTTACTTGCAGCCAATCGACCTGTAGTATCTTAAAGCACAATTATATATGTGAACGTATATTCTAAGAGCACACCCACCCACACTCAAGCACAGGCATCAATCGACTCTCTCTCACTCGTACTCTCACTGTACATTTGCAAGACATGTTATAGGGAATGACAACTGACAAGATCATTCATCACTGAGCGGCTACGACTTCACTCAACAAGCACACATGACAATTCTCTCTCTTATTTTACATCTGCAAGACATGTTTATGTCTACTCGTGGGAAGTTCACAAGTCATGGGCGACGCAAGTCTCCTCTTTAATCGACAGACACATGACAACCGATGTGCAGATACTACACGACCCAACCCCCTCCGACCGACTGTCAACAAACACAGCGCCCTGATGGCATTCGTAATGGAAGTGATAATGAAAAAAATAATTTTTGTTTTAATCTTAATTTCGTTATTCCATGTAGTTCATTTTTAATCAATATATGTTTGTGGAATTCTAAAAATATATTATTAGCAACACAAACAATAGCATTCATTAAAAATATACGGTTCATAGGAAAACCAGGTATTCATGAATTTCAAGGAGTAGCTATCCTAATTTCTATCACGCTTCTTGCTGAACATAGTTTTACGTCATGGAATAGATAAACATGAATTTTAAAGAATGAAAATAAAAATAATCCAAATGAATAAACAAATAAATAAAATATTGTAATATGTGGAGGCCCCCAGATTGTGGAGGCCCCCAGATTGTGGAGGGCCCTTGGCAGCTGCCCACTTTGCCCACTCCTGAATCCAGCCCTGTCCGTAGTTTAACATCGGTGCTGCGGTATGAAAAGATTCATTTAACATGGGTAAAAATTTACTCCCGCTTCTTAGGTAAACACGGTCATCGGCAGTGACTATTGATGTTACTGTATGACGCTAATTATTTAACAGGAGTATTTCGTTATACGTACGGTGTACTGCTGTGGCATTGTTAAGATTAATACCTATATTCCACAAAACTTCTGAACTTGGAGTTGTTATATTAGGCTTTAGGTCAAGGCAGTTTATTTATTACTCACCTGAAACAGTAAATAGTAACCATAGATTCTCGTCTTCCTCGACAAATGTTGGACGATGAGGCAAAACTGTTACTGGGGAGAGGTAGTGGGTTAGTAAGGAGGGAACCAGTGTGATCTCAGTAAGAGTAACCTTGTTAAGTGTGTGATCCCGGTAAGTAAAATCCCGGTAAACATAATCCTGGTAAGTGTGTGATCCCGGTAAGTAAAATCCCGGTAAACATAATCCTGGTAAGTGTGTGATCCCGGTAAGTGTGAACCCAGTAAATGTTGAAACAAATTCTGTTTGTTCCTTTTTAATTCTTTCTATTTATTTACTTATTTATATATTTACATATTCTCACTTTATTTTTCCCCTCTGTATGTCAACGTTGTATTGTATCCTTGTGAGATGGTGGTGGGGAGGAGGGTGTGAGGGGAGGGTGTGAGGGGAGGGTGTGAGAGGAGGGTGGAGGGGAGGGTGTGAGGGAGGGTGTGAGAGGAGGGTGTGAGATTGTGGTGGGGAGGAGGTGTGAGGGCGTGTGGGGAGGTGTATGTGAGGAGGGGTGAGGGTGGGGAGGGGAGGGGTGAGGGGAGGGGGTGGAGAGGAGGGGTGTGAGGAGGGTGTGGTGGGGAGGGGTGGGTGTGAGGGGAGGGTGTGAGGGGAGGGTGAGGGGAGAGTGTGAGGGTGAGGGGTGGAGGGGAGGGGTGTGAGGGGCGAGGGGTGGGAGGGGAGGGGGTGTGAGGAGGAGAGGGGTGTGATGGGGGTGAGGGGAGGGTGTGGGGAGGGGAGGGTGGAGGGTGTGGGGAGGTGGGGAGGGGAGGGGGGGGTGGGGGAGGTGAGGGGAGGGTGTGAGGGGAGGGTGGGAGGGGAGGGTGGGGAGGGGGAGAGGGGAGGGGGAGGGCGGGAGGGGAGGGGTGGAGGGAAGGGGATGGGAGGGGTGTGAGGGGGAGGTGAGGGGAGTTTTGAGGGGAGGTGGAGGGGAGGGGTGGAGGGGGAGGGGTGTGAGGGAGCTTCTAGAGGGGGAGGGGGTGTGAGGGGAGGTGTGAGGGAGGGTGAGGGAGGTGTGAGGGGTGGTGAGGGGGAGTTTGTGAGGGAGGAGTCAGGAGGAGGTGGAGAGGAGGCGTGAGGGAGGTGCAGAGGAGGGCGGGAGGGGGAGGTGTGAGGGGTAGGGGTGTGAGGGGGAGGGTGGGGGAGGGTGAGGGGAGGGTGAGGGGGGAGGGGAGTTTAGGGAGGGGGGAGGGTGGAGGAGGGCGTGAGGGGGAGGGGTGGAGGGAGGGTGAGGGGAGGGGGTGGGAGGGGAGGGGTGAGGGGAGGGGTGGAGGGGAGGGGTGGAGGGGAGGGGTGTGAGGGGAGGGGGTGTGAGGGGAGGGTGTGAGGGGAGGGGTGTGGGAGGGGGGGCGGAGGTGGAGGGTGGGGGGAGGGGCGTGGGAGGGGAGGATGTGAGAGCAGTAGGGTGAGGGGAGAGTGGAGGGGAGGGCGGAGGAGGCGTGAGGGGAGGGCAGAGAGGAAATATGGAAGAGTTATTATATACATGTCTTACTGCATAATACCAAGACATTTATAACACCTCACTCTTTCTCAATAAGGGAGGTATGAATTAGGACTCTTATTAACGGTTACTGTATTTATTGAATACTTTATATTAGGGTTTAACAGTTACACTTCAAAATAATCAACCTATGCTCCTAGTTAGTTAAACGGGGACCACGTATCTCACAACAAATGGGAACTTAAGCATTTACTAAATAGAATACATCCAAATACCTGCCATGTCGCCACCACAAACATTCCACACCCTCACTACACAAAATTCCAACACAGAGGGACAGCTTCATGATGTTATGCCTCATACGCCTCCTCATTGACTAAAGACAGGCCTAAGGCATTCATACTATTGCCTCGAAATTGGCGGGAACTCTCAGGTGGCGGGAAACTCATAACATTGTATACCGGTAAGTGTGATCCCATTGTCTCCTCCTATCTCCAAATTGTCTCCTCCTATCTCCACATTGTCTCCTCCTATCTCCACATTGTCTCCTCCTATCTCCACATTGTCTCCTCCTATCTCCACATTGTCTCCTCCTCTCTCCACATTGTCTCCTCCTATCTCCACATTGTCCTCCTATCTCCCACATTGTCTCCTATCTCACATTGTCTCCCTATCTCACATTGTCTCCTCCCATCTCCACATTGTCTCCTCCCATCTCCACATTGTCTCCTCCCATCTCATCTCACATTGTCTCCTCCCTATCTCCACACTGTCTCCTCCTATCTCCTCTCCTATCCTCTCTCCTCCACATTGTCTCCTCCTATCTCCACATTGTCTCCTCCCATCTCCACATTGTCTCCTCCTATCTACATTGTCTCCGCCTACTTCCACATTGTCTCCCATCTCCATCTCCACATTGTCTCCTCCCATCTCCACATTGTCTCCTCCTATCTCCATTGTCTCCGCCTATCTCCACATTGTCTCCTCCTATCTCCACATTGTCTCCCATCTCCCACATTGTCTCCTCTCCATCTCCATCATTGTCTCCTCCCATCTCCACATTGTCTCCTCTACTTCCACATCTCTTCACATTGTCTCCGTCTCTACTTCCACATTGTCTCTACTTCCATTGTCTCCGCCTACTTCCACATTGTCTCCTCCTATCTCCACATTGTCGCCTCCTCACATTGTCGCCTCCTATCTCCCACATTGTCTCCTCCTATCTCCACATTGTCTCCTCCTATCTCCCACATTGTCTCCTCCCCATTGTCTCCTCCCTATCTCCACATTATCTCTCCTCCTTGTCTCCTCCTATCTCCACATTGTCTCCTCCTATCTCCACATTGTCTCCGCCTATCTCCACATTGTCTCCGCCTATCTCCACATTGTCTCCGCCTATCTCCACATTGTCTCCGCCTATCTCCACATTGTCTCCTCCTCTCTCCACATTGTCTCCTCCTCTCTCCACATTGTCTCCTCCTCTCTCCACATTGTCTCCTCCTATCTCCACATTGTCTCCTCCTATCTCCACATTGTCTCCTCCTATCTCCACATTGTCTCCTCCTATCTCCCGTCTAGTACTACCAGATTCAGGTACATTTTCAGAATTTCCTTGTAAATCTTTCATGACACACTCCTTTGTTGCCGCCCACCTTGAGGGACGCTGAAGCTTCCAGATGAACACCTATTCAGGCCGACCTACAGAATACGCCCGACACACACACACACACACACACACACACACACACACACACACACACACCGAGTTAGATAAGACCTGGTTTTGTAAGTTTCAATTGTTAATACGGTAATTTAATCACATTTCAATGTCTTTTATTATTTGTGGGGAATATTATGTAAAACTTGCTCTAGTTCTCAGGTATCACGTTCATCATATTCTCTTTGTAAAGCGAAGTCTTCCTTCCTTCCCGGCGACTTAGTTAACCTACAGTGCAAACTATGGTAGAATGTTTACAAGGGAGAGTAGTGCAACAGGGAGGTGGTGGTGGCACGCTGCTGTGACATACGTAAGGAGGTAAATGCCAAGGTGTGACGTGGGTGTGGTGTATGGTGAGGTGCTTGCGGTCCTCTCCCACCTGCCTCATGTTGGTGTCC